AGTATGACGTTTGCATGCTGCTAACATGCTTTAGTATGTTGCTAGCTAGTTTTAAACCATAGATACATAGATTCCTTATTAGCAGCCGTTTCAACGGTCCGCCATATTGGAACGGTCCATGAACATTTGAGAGCAAATTGACTGAGCGTCTGCAACCGCAGACGCATGTATGAATATCTATATGTGAAATAGACTCCAGCAGATGATTTTCTAAACTAACACAATACAACAAGACAAAGGCGTCAGCTGACACAACATTAAAAGTACCATAGTAAAAAAAAAACATATATTGAGTTCACGTGTTGCTAGCATTTTCCCAACACACTTTAGCACATTGCTAGCATGTTTTTACACCTTGCAAGCATGTTTTAGCATCCTTCTAACATGTTTTAACATGTTGCTAGCACATCGCTAACATGTTTTAAGATGTTGTTTAGTATGTTTTAGCGTACATTGCTAACACGTCCTAGGTATAGGCCTTGCTAATGCTTCCGTTTGGTGGTCATAAATTGGAAGCTTTGGAAAATGTTGGTCTTAAATGGGTCATATAATGCCATTTTTGTACAAGCTAATATGATTCTTTAGGGTCTAAATTAAAAGTTTGTAATATACTTTAATTAAAAATTCTCATTAGTATTGTAAGAAAACACTTATTTTACTTGGTCAAAAACAGCTCTGTTTTCAGCACGCCGTTTCAGTGCATATGACTTTAAATGATAATGAGCTTTGCTCACCCCGCCTCTCTGTTCTGTGCGTACACCGTTTGTAACACAATAACACAATAACCATAACGCATTGTTCAGTATAAACATGGGATTATAAATTATATTGAGAACATCATACATAGAAAACATGCCGTAATGTACCCTGAGTGTAAACCTTAGACGCATTCATTGTGAAGCGTGCAGCTAGCGATTTGCAAAGATTAATATAAATATTAATATAAAGTTTAATAAAACATTACACTCACTTAAGTTGTTCTAGAGCAGTGGTCTCAAACTCGCGGTGATATTTTGTGGCCCCCTACTTGACATTAAAGTTTAATGTTAGTGCGGCCCGTCGTTGCATGTGCCGCGTTTAAAAAAAATAAAAAATAAAAATTTATCCCTTATGGGCTACCATAGATAGTCTCGTGACACGGTGGGTTTGTTGTCAATAGTTGTCATAGATAGACAACCGCGAAGTACAAACATACTGCGCCTGGAAAAAATGAGCGCGTCGCTTCAATTATGAGCGCGCTTGCCGCGCACCTACATTTGAAATAACGAACTTGAGCGCGCAAAATATGTGAGCGCGATATGTGAACGGCCCCTTGGCGAGCTGCCACCAATCAGGCCACGAGCTACTGATAGCTCGCGAGCGACGTGTTGGAGACCCCTGCTGTAAAACAATGTGAGAATAATCATTTTGAGCTTGTAATATGTGTCCAACAGGTTCATAAGAAGGTTTGCTTTGATTTGTGCAGTCAGTAATTTGAGACACTATACATGTGTAGAAAGAATTCAATAAGACGGGCAGACATGACTGCAAATATTTGTATTTCAAAAGCAATAATTGTTTTTCTAAGTATAATAAAAGGAAATGTGCCTTCCAAAAAAAAAAAAAAACATTCAATATCATTAATGTGTTGTATAAAGAAAATAATAAGGACATAAGCAAATATAAATATCACAAATATGTGTTATAGACAAAGAAAGTTTGTAAAAATGAACTTCAACTGTCAGAAGGACAGCTCATGAAGAACCAATCATGTACAGAAAGGAATGTTCAAATTCAGAGGAACAGTTCAGAAGAAACGTTAATAATAAATATTGAGAAGATTGGATCAGTTGTGCTCCTTTTTTGGAATACTTGAATACTATTTTTTTGTGGAATACTTGATGCGGCCCAGCCTGACCCAGACTCTACCTCCAGCGGCCCCCAGTTAAGTTGAGTTTGAGACCCCTGTTCTAGAGGTTCAGCAGGAACACGAATAGTTGGTACCGATCCTTTTTTCATGAGCAGCTTCTTAGCAAAACCAGCTCATACTGACCCTCGTTTATAAAGCAGTCTGGTGAGAAATGATTCGCGCAAACATGAAAGCATTGACGTTGCTCGTGGGGAATATTCCCTTCGAAAACAAACTCAGCCACTGCATCTTCAGCAGTTCGGATTTAGGAACATTAAAATGACTGCTGTGTTCGTTATTACACCCAAGAACAGAACAACACAATCGCTTAGACGCCATTCTGCTCATAGACAGTGCTCCAGCATATCAACAATGACCGCGCCGGTCCGCGCAGACAATGATTGACAGCTCCCTCACGAGCGAGGGCGGGTCTGTGTTGAAACGATGCTGTCAATCAACAATCGTGGGAGGGGCTTCCGAGCTTGTGACGTCACAAAATCGAACGGCTCAATTTGAGGCAGGGGAAAACATATAAGGAGATTAAAACAAAAACACTGGATGGATTTTTATCATTTTATGATGGTTGTGTACAGGCACTGCCAACACACATTTCAGTACAATCAACTTGTAAAAGTGCATGTACCATTATATGACCCCTTTAAAAGAAAAATAAGCTGCTTAAACACCAGATCAGAAGGTTGGCTTTGATAAGCCAACATAATTACTGAAGGCTGGAATATACTTTTGCCTTGATTTACAGTCTGGACGTGTTGAGGCTAGGTCTCGAAAGTTAGAGCCAGTTTGCAGATTTGAGTTGGCACAATTTAAGAAAATTATAGTGCATTATGGGCACAGACTCTGATTTTTTTATCTTCCGACTATGAATCTGTCCACTATTTTGAGAATATTAAACATGTTTGATAATTCGACCCGATTTTATACACATATTGATTCCATTTGTCCACTGTCTCCATAACGAAGTGCATGTTTCATGAGTTTGTCATGTTCGGACCGACTTGAAAGTCTGGTAGTGTGTGATGCTCAGTCGTGTGTGAGGTTTTTCCTCTGTAGCCATTTACAAAGTCGGCAAGTATATGAAGCCTATAGTGTTTTAAAATCGGTTCAGATTTGAAAAAGTCGTGTAGTGTATTTTAGCGTACAAGTGGACCAGGACCGCCACTGGTGCCAACCCTGAAAATGATGACTTTTACCTCGAGTGCTGTCTGATTGAAGAGAGTGATGAACTGAGCAGTGAGGAGAACCACCACCTCCTCCCTCAGAAACTCTACACAGAGAGAGAGAGAGTTATAGATCTCAGGCTGCCAAGACAGGATTGAATAAAATAGAGATACCACACACACACACTCACACTGCAATCATAGAGCAAAGACAGAATGAAGTGATCAATAAGGCGTTTTCAGACCGCTACACTCAGATTAGCACCTCAGATGCAACGAAGAAGGAATCAATGCCACACCAACTTAAACTGCACTGCTAAAAAAGCACTTTAATTTAACATTAAACTCTGGGCTTCACCTCGACTGGCACTGAAGTTTTGAAAGGGGTCAGAGGGATCTGGAGGTGGCGAATCAGGAGGAGATGGTGGGAGTTCGGATGAGAGCTGGGTCTCGGTCTGTTCTGGATTGACCGGGCCATTCGAGTCCACTGCTGAAGCCCAGTCTTCATCTTCCAGGCTCATGAGGGGCTCATCTTCTTCACCTCTGACCTCTCTGAGGGGCGTGTGCTGCTCAGGAAAGGAGTCCAGTGGTGGGATGTCCCAGTAAAGGAACATCACTGCAAACTGCATAAGCAGCCACATCCCGCACATGAAGAGCTGGGTCAAAAGAGCACATGGCAGCTTGAATTAAAGTCAACTTACTTAAAAGAACTGAAAAATGGCAAATACAAATGTTGAAATAAGATAGAAGTAAATGACTAACTTACTGATGAATCTCACAAAGAACACTATTGAGATTTCATTTTTGTTTCTCATTAGATTCCTGTCTGTTTTATTTTAATTTATTTATTATGGACCTCAACCGTACAAATTCGTACGATTTTTGCTAAATCGTACATATTTTACGAGTTGCCCAATCCGTATGAATTCGTAAGAATGACCTACCCCTGACCCCGCCCCTAAACCTACCCGTCACTGGGGTTTAGACGAATCGTACGAATTCCTACGAGTGAGGTCGTACGAATTAGCCACCTTTTACTGACTCGTACGAATTCATACGAATTGGTTCTAAGATAGCGTTGTTAGTTTACATCAGTTGATGCATTAACTCACAATGCAATACATTAGTTCCAGTATTTATTAACCTTGTTAAAGTTAGTTAATAAAAATACTTTTCATTGTAAGTTCATGATAGCTCAGGTCCATAATATTAAAAGATACAACTTTTGTATTAAAGTGTCAAAAACATGTTTAAATTAACATAGATGAATAAATGCTTCAGAAGTATTTAGTTAACTAATAGTGTTACCCACTTTATGATAAGGTTGCATTTGTTAAAATTAGTTATGCACTAACAATTATTGTGACATAAATCATTAACTAACGTTAACTAATGAAATCTTATTGTGAGGTGTTGCCGCGTATTTGAGAATGACATTTTTAGCATCACAGTAATACAAATGTAGGAGGACACTTGTCATGAAAATAATGTCACAAAGAAAAAAATTAATCATGCTTAAAAAGTGCTTCATTTTCTCCAAGTGAATTGAAATATCCACCGGACATGCTCTTATTTTATGAGATCCTCTGACAGGATGTGTGTTTCCCAGCCCTGTTCCCATTGAGCCCCCTAGCACTACTACACTTTGGATGTCTCTCTCTCTTGATCTGATGCAACCATTTCAGGCCTTGGATCTTCAACTAATGACTTGAAGAGTGGAATCATGTGTGTTTCATTAGGAAGACATCTGAAATGTGCAGAGTTACTACATTCACATTACAAGCTGCATCCACAGAGCCGGCCCTAGACCTTTGGGGGCCCTAATCAAAATTTGGTTGGAGGCCCCTTTGACCGTTTTAAGGCCTAAAGAAAAGCAATGACTACCTTATAACTATACCATACTATATTATACTGTATATACTATGTTTGATCTCTAACAGGAAAATTATGATACCACTGAGCTGAATGGCAGTGCAAGACACACACACACACACTGATTAACTTGCTGAATAAAAAGACAGATAAAGTGATTATCACTGAACAATGATACATTTTTATTGACACCAGAGTTTAAGAGTCACAAACTACAGCACACACATATATATATATATAAAATTTAAATTAAATAGAGCAAATAGAATAACATTTAAATATAATATTCTATAAAATAATAAATAGATTTTTCAAATAAACAAAATTAACAATAACATCTAAAACACCACAAAGAAGATCAACAATATTAAGAATAAGGTAACATTTCAATATAACTATTAAAATCCAATCCAAATAAAGAAAATAATTATACATAAAGTTAGACTTAATTTTTTAAATGCAGAAGGTTATCATTTTACAGCCCCTTTATACTCACCAACAGCTGGAGCTTTGCTTACTGGCAGCATATGCCTCGTTTCCACTGAGTGGTACGGTACGGTTCAGTACGGTACGGTTCGGGTCGGGTCGCTAAACCATGATCCGGCTAGCGTTTCCACTGCCAACAGTACCCTTACTTGATAGGCGTGGTGTTTGCCGGAGAGAAGCGATCGACGTCATTTTCGCGCGAACAAAAGCGACATAGTAAACAACAATGGATGACAGACAGCAGATCTTGATCTTGCTTCTCGGCATGTTTGTCACAAGAAACAAGCGCTGGCATTAGGCGTTTCTCATGCAAGTAGCCACGCAAAGTCCGACTCAGGAGAATGATCCCGAGGACGCGAGTCCAGTAATTCTGCTGATGGAACAGCGCGTTCTTGAAAGCGCCACTCAGCTCGCTCTGCTACTCCGGTTATGTACATTTTAGGCAACAATAAAACGAAATATGTTATAAAACACCACTCTGCTTCTTTTCGATTTAATTTAAATACATTGTAAACATTATAAGCACACAAATGTGGTTCAGGCAACGCATAGCCTATTGATTATATTCACTGCATGTATGTAACGTTATATTTATAACAAAACTAAATATAAAACACAACCCTGCCTCTTTTCGTTTAAATTTAAAAATATTAAACATATTCCAGGCAATGAATTGCATATTGCATTGGTACAAATGTTGCAATAAACAACATTACAGATGATCTTGTAATAAAATAAAATAAATGACAAAACTATCTATTTTTGGTGAATTTCAGTTTTATAATAATAGCCATTATAAAAGTATAAGTAAAAGGTACAAAAATATATACAGTAAAGCTTTAATCACAAAGCAAACAATTCAGTCAAATATACAAATTCAGCGCTCAAATATATGAAACTTCACTTAGCCTTCTGCCAAAACTATTGGCCAGGGAACGAATTATAGATTCACGAGACCAAAGATCGCCTGTTATGTCTGTACAATACGAATTACATCTCATGTTTAACCACTACAGAGACGTCAGAGTCAGCGGCAAACATCAGAACGGCTAGCCGGGGAAAGGCTGCTCCAGGCGGGGTGCACGAGCGCCGAGCGTCCGGTAATTGCTTGGAATGGATCTTCAAATTATCATAAATCTATAAATAAACCACAGATTTGAGCTTTAAAAAACTACTTTCTCGCCTGAAAAACTCTTAAAACTACATTTCGTGACACAATAACAGTAGTATTATATTTCAACTGTATGCTGCTAATGCCCTTGTAGCACGCGCAAGTGACGATACTCTGTCAACCAATCAGCGTTCTGCAGTGAGTCTAGCTCCACCCTTTAGTACCGTACCACTGTGCTAGGTACCCCAACGGAAGGGTACCCAAAAAGTGGTACGGTACGGTTCGGCTTTTTGGTACCATTCACAACTTTTGACAGTGGAAACGCAAATAATTGCGTACCGAACCGAACTGTACCGTACCGTACCGCTCAGTGGAAACGAGCCATAATAGTGCTCCTAAGGGGACATAAGGAGTAAACTAATGATAGCCCTTGTAGAATCCAAACTGGGTTCATATTGTTCTGTTAAATGCTTTAACAGTAACACCACAGCAAATGGTATAGGCCTAATACTAAACCAATTTTATGCAGCATGTTATTATGTAAGTTAAACAACTGTAGAAAATTAATACAAGCACGATTTAGGCTAATGTTAAGACTTTTAGTGCAGATTATCCATATTACAGAAATCGGAAAATTAAGCCTACAGGCTTACGTACCTTTATCTTCTTGCTTCTTCTCTTCTTCCAGGCTCTTTTTTGTCGTTTTTCTTGGCCAGAAAGATATTTTCGTTTTCTTGTCAGACATCGTCGATTCGTTGGAGTCGCTAACTGACTGACCAAGTGACAACGAGTGACATCATAGCGCGACCAAGCGACGCGATACCATTCATTTCAATGGTGAGCGGGCGACTTCCGGCGACACGCGCGACAGCGACCGTTGGCGACTAGATGGGGCGTGTCTAGCGACGCGACAAAGTTGAGAAATTTTTAACTTTATGCAAATGAAGAGCGATTTTCGCGAGCGACAACCAATAGGAGTGGAGCACACGTGATCCTTCTCCTCAGCCCCTGGGCCTGCAGTGATGGATGGCAAGAAAGCTGATTCGCTGTCTTTTGGATGTCATACTAGTCAACCAGTAGTGGGAACGCCCACTAGCGACCTCATCGCCAGCGACAAAGTCGCGTGTAGTGTGACGCGCGCGCGCCTTCGCGGGGAGCTCCCGGTTGATTTGCCATAATACAGAACTAAATAAATAACAACTCTGTGCTTATCATGATGCCTGATAAAGAGCGCTGTAGATCCATTTCTTTTTATTTATTTATTTTATGTTACTTTCGTTGTGCGATTTCCCCCCCCCCCCACTAGCAGTGACTCTAGGGGGCCCTCTGCTGGCCACGGGGCCCTTTGCAATTGCAACGGCTCGGCCGGCTCTGTGCATCCATCATCATGTGGAACGCGCGTGTGTATGTGTGTGTGTGTGCGTATGCATGTGTGTATTTAGAATGTAAATTGTATAGGAAATGAGCCAAAACATACTTACCCCAGGTGAGGTGTACTTATTTACAATGAATGGACCCAATTTGAAATCACACAACCTTAGAAAGATATTGAATGCAGGACCTGCAAGTAAAAATGCATATTGTATATGTATTATGGCCACTTATTGCATGGTGGAACACTGACTCACCAATCAGAAGTCCAGCCTGACGACATGCCATGACAGCAGCAAAGACTCTAGCTCGCTCATCGGGGAGGGTAGTGCGTGTAAGGAACCCAAAAATGGAGGAACCAGCTCCTGCTCCAATACCTGATGGAAGGATGCAGTGTAATCCAGAAGTCCATAACGGGAAAAAACATTAGCGATATATTCTATTTACACTAGCCTATTTAAAAGTAGCAGTTCTTTGCAATAAGTGCAAATAGTTGTAGATGCTTTTTATACTTATAAATAGTGGCATATACTATTTGCACCTCAGTATTGTTGTACATTAACAGGATGCAATAATAACATAGAGTGTAAATTACTATTAAAATTATTAAATGGATGCCGCCTTATTGGGAAGATAATAAATGCTTTATTATTAAACACTCTTTGGGCACTTTATTTCCACTTTTCAAATATTTTCTTCATTTTTATTTAAAATAAATGCCTTTCTGATCTGATATGTGATGAGAAAACGGAGATGAGGAGTTTGATAAAAGGCGGGTTTGAACTCGGGCCAAACGTGTCAAAAGCTACTTCTCCGTGCCATTCTGCCTATAGCCTACCCCACTTTAGACACTGAGAAGCGTGCGTCTTTTTAAATCTTGTGTGGCCCAACAAGATATTGGTGGGCAGGGTTAGTGTAAATAGCCTTTGCCAACAGGACAGGCACTTTACACTTGCAAATAGATACTCCGAAAAAGTTACTGTGAATACTGTGTGCTGTAACTAAAGTCAGTTTATAAGCATCATGTCATTTGGTACACGGTACAATCAGATTGGCTTGGTCAGCATTTAAATAGACCTTCTACCTCCCCCAGCTCCACCTGCCTATATATGTATACACTCACCTAAAGGATTATTAGGAACACCATACTAATACTGTGTTTGACCCCCTTTCGCCTTCAGAACTGCCTTAATTCTACGTGCAATTGATTCAACAAGGTGCTGAAAGCATTCTTTAGAAATGTTGGCCCATATTGATAGGATAGCATCTTGCAGTTGATGGAGATTTGTGGGATGCACATCCAGGGCACGAAGCTCCCGTTCCACCACATCCCAAAGATGCTCTATTGGGTTGAGATCTGGTGACTGTGGGGGCCATTTTAGTACAGTGAACTCATTGTCATGTTCATGGAACCAATTTGAAATGATTCGAGCTTTGTGACATGCTGCATTATCCTGCTGGAAGTAGCCATCAGAAGATGGGTACATGGTGGCCATAAAGGGATGGACATGGTCAGAAACAATGCTTAGGTAGGCCGTGGCATTTAAACGATGCCCAATTGGCACTAAGGGGCCTAAAGTGTGCCAAGAAAACATCCCCCACACCATTACACCACCACCACCAGCCTGCACAGTGGTAACAAGGCATGATGGATCCATGTTCTCATTCTGTTTACACCAAATTCTGACTCTACCATCTGAATGTCTCAACAGAAATCAAGACTCATCAGACCAGGCAACATTTTTCCATTCTTCAACTGTCCAATTTTGGTGAGCTCTTGCAAATTGTAGCCTCTTTTTCCTATTTGTAGTGGAGATGAGTGGTACCCAGTGGGGTCTTCTGCTGTTGTAGCCCATCTGCCTCAAGGTTGTGCGTGTTGTGGCTTCACAAATGCTTTGCTGCATACCTCGGTTGTAATGAGTGGTCATTTCAGTCAAAGTTGCTCTTCTATCAGCTTGAATCAGTCGGCCCAATCTCCTCTGACCTCTAGCATCAACAAGGCATTTTCGCCCACAGGACTGCCGCATACTGGATGTTTTTCCCTTTTCACAGCATTCTTTGTAAACCCTAGAAATGGTTGTGCGTGAAAATCCCAGTAACTGAGCAGATTGTGAAATACTCAGACCGGCCCGTCTGGCACCAACAACCATGCCACGCTCAAAATTGCTTAAATCACCTTTCTTTCCCATTCTGACATTCAGTTTGGAGTTCAGGAGATTGTCTTGACCAGGACCACACCCCTAAATGCATTGAAGCAACTGCCATGTGATTGGTTGATTAGATAATTGCATTAATGAGAAATTGAACAGGTGTTCCTAATAATCCTTTAGGTGAGTGTATATATATATATATATATATATATATATATATATATATATATAGGCAGGTGGCGCTGGGGGAGGTAGAGGATATATATATATATGTCCTCTATAATTTTATAAACAAGTAATAAACTTGTTATAAACAACTCATTGTGTCTGGTCAGAATGATTCAATTCTGCATTGCAGAAATTACAATCTAATGAGAGTCATCAATCAAAAAGAACAGTCTCTCTGTCAGTATCTGTTGGATGTCTTAAAATCTCATTAATGTTGATGGTTTACACCACAGGAGCACAGAATCTCACAAAGTTTATTGTAACTGATAGAACAGTGCAGCTTCAAAATATCCTCACCTGCAACAAGACGGCTGGACAGCAGGAGCCATTTTGAATATCCCATGAAATACATGAAGTTTCCTGTAAGACAAATGGGTTGCAATGAGCAAGTCAAACAACATCATCAGGAGATCATAACTGCACAAGAACAAGGGTTATTTGATATATTTTAAAACCATCTCTATTCTTAGGTATACTGACCCACAATTTCAAACACATTGGAGAAGAGAATGATGGTCTTTGTAGTTCTGGTCTTGTCTGACCAGTGACCAAACACTGGACCTGAAACCAGCCCACTGAAGCTGAACGCGGATAGACCCAAGCCAAGAAAATAAGGTGGTGCCTCTAATATCTGCAGATATCGCCATATAGTGGGAAGAATGACAGCTGAAAGAGATAGAGAGAGAGAAGACTGTATTTTGCACATCAACTGCATAAACTTTCAATACATTCACCATTAACACATTAATATTGTAATGCTTTCTTGCACTATTGATTCAAACAAGTTATTTGCTGCAGAAAGGAAATAAAAAGGAAAGGAAAATAATTCTTGGCCACTTACCATATTCTACACCACTCAAAAGAAATATCAATCCAATAGTGAGAAAAGACAGTTTTCTTTTTTGTCTGTAATCCATTGTAGTGTTTCTCTAGGTTATTTTCACAGCACTTGATCATTCCTCTTCCTCATGGTCCAATTATTGTAATGAGAGGGATGGTGTTCTCCATTACTGACTCTGGTATGTAACCGCTCGTCTTACTGTGCGGCTATTTCTCTTTTTTTTGTAGATCATAGCAAATGCATCAATCAGCAAAAGACAAAGTATAAGCCATGTGGTGCCGGCGAGTTTAGGAAAAGCTATAGGGAATATTTTTTGGATGATTTTACGCAAACATGCTGTTTGACGCTCAGTGGATCCCTTCCTTGAATATGATCATTCGGGTCCCTGTCACGAGGCGACTATAAATGCCCTATAATTTCTTCATTGATGCAGCATTGCAGATAAACAGTGCTCAGGCTCTTCCAACAGTCTCTGTACACTGAAGCATCAGAGATCTAGTATTACCTGTGAGCTTGTATCCATTATTTATAGTGTTCAGGTGAAGTGGACTGTAATTCTACTCCCTTAAAGCTGTATCTTCACTTCTTTATAACAGGATTGCAGTTCATTCCTGACAATCTACACTCCTGGGCCAAAAAAAACACAGTCACAATTCGATATATTTCACGATACTGAACTCACGATACAATATTATTGCGATACTGCAAGACATATTATAAAAGGTTAACAAGAAATGTACTGTTGATTAAAATGCTAAATTTGATATTACATTGGGGGTGTAAATGAATAGGCTTGGACTTGGTGCTGGAAACCCAATGCACAGGACAATGGTGACACCAGAATACAAATATTCATGATTCTGAAGCTGAAAATACAGAATTATTTTAGACGAATATGCTTGCACTTTTTACTGGTAACAGACATTTGGCATTATCAGGACCCACAAATACAGTTTTCCCCAATTGCATTATTATACATTATATTCAACATTATAGTAGTTTAGTGTAGTACTGACATTAAAAATCTGAATACTTAATTTTTTTAACTATACACACTACATATTATCACTATCCACGACACATATTGCTGCATTTTTGTGTTGCGATATATTGTGACATGATATATTGTTACACCCTATAAGCTTTTAATTGTATTAACCAGAAACTATTGATCAGGAAGTTAGCTATATTTAAGCAAATGCACTACTTAAAAAACGGTTTTTGCTGTCTCAGAATTTGCATTTGGAATTTGGCAGAATATTGGAAGTTTGTGTGGAGCGATGAATCCCAATGAAACACGGTGATGCTCCAGAGCGGCGTCTTCTAACATCTGCTGAGAAATATAATAATAAAAGCATCTCTGCCACAGTGAAGCATGAAGGAAGAGTGTCAGTGTGTGAGGAGTCTTTTCAGATGAGCATTGATGAGCTGCTTCACTGGGAAAACTCATTTAATGCTTTGGAGTACGAGAGAATAATGCAGAATGGCTTGCTTCCCACAAATGAAATGTTTTTATCGAAAGAGGAATGATCCGATGTTATTTTTCAAGACAATGGTAACACTTTATTTTAAGGTGCCGTAGTTACATGTTTTCTAATTTCCTAATTAGTGATGTGTGATTAATATGGTTAAGACCATTAAAAGATTAGTGAGTAAAAGAGTAATGTAGTGTGTATCTTATTTCTGTAATAAATACTTAGTTTTAAACGTATGCTAATGTGTCTGTCAAGCATTATGTAATATTTGCTAATGACCTAGAAACATTATAAAATGTTATCTTTGTATTTTTGTATCTAAAAACGAGTCAATTCACCTTTTTTATATAGTGCTTTATACAATACAGATAGTTTAATACAGATAGTGATAAACAGGAAAATAATGATTAATGATAAACAGAATTCAATTCCACTGTAAATCAGCTTTAAAAGGTAAGTTATAGAAATACGGAAACGTTTTTCCTTCGCGTTTTGTGAAAATTACTAAAAAGCTGTATTATTCATGCCAGGCCAGTAGGTGGCGATGTCACTTTGTAAAGAAACACTACGCGCCTTTAGACAGAACACTTAATATGCAAGCGCATGACGTCACCGTTTTCACAATTTCGCGTTTTTGTAGTTTACACGGAGAAGATAACGGTATCATTTTCAAAAACTCGCACTTCGAATCTTTTATGTTTTTAGTTGAAAACGGTGTCGTGTAAACGGTCCTAAAATACACTTTTGTGCAACCTGCAACTGAATCCGTGTCTCTCCCTGACAAGTGCAGTGTTGATTCAGTTCGGTTCAATAAAGTTGATCAATTATGAGTTCAATTCAGCTACAAAGCAGCAGTAAATACGAAAAAAAGTGTAATCTTCTCAGGTCATCATCTCAAAAATATATATTTTTTAAGCAACAGTACACCCTCAGCAGATGAGGACCAGGTGCACAATGTTGTTTTGATAAAAATTGAATGCATTTGTATATACAATCATAAAACCTCATTCATTAAAAATTTATGTTATTTTGGATTAAAAACGCATTAATTATTGACGCACTGTTGTGCTCATGAAGCTAAAAGTTGTGAGTTTTGTCAGTTGGTGTCGTGAATCAGTTTTATCAGAGTCTAGTTTAATAGCTACGAAAGGCCATATAATGAAAAGAAGAACGCATCTCTTGAGGTAAGACGTCGTTTGAAACTTACACCATTAGAATCTGTGTTTCAGTAAAGTAAACATAATTATGTGGGTTTCTGCTGACAGGCTTCGGATCTGGACACTTTGCATAATGTTTTTTTATTATTTATTTATTTTATTCTATGCAGTTTTTTAAAAATGCAGTTTTACTTCATAGTTGTGTCCAGGTCATATGTAAAAATAGAAGAAAAAAAAAACTGTCATGAGTGCTTAGTTACAATCCCATAGGACACAATTATGGTCTGGCTGTAGGGGTTCCCATAGAAACCCTCTGTGGCATCCCTGTTCAGGCAGAGGAAATATATTCCACTGATCTCATCTGGATGAGAAGAAAACAATCCCTTAAGTGCACTCTATTGTGCCCTACACGTCTGACGGCTAGGCAGAACGGTGGTTCCGTGTCCAGATGTATAGTACATTGACCTTGTCAAAGTGGGGTCGGTGTTGTGTTAATTTAGTGCTGTTACCCAGTTAAGGGATACTTGATGAGATAGAAATGCTGCTGAATCATTCCCCCCGAGGGTCTTTCAGTGTTCCTGTTAACATCACTCTGCAGGGCGCGCGGCGACGAAACATTCGGTACGTATGGAGATCAGATCCACATTTTATTACAGCTAATTGTCCAGTTGTGACACTATATATGAGAAACAAAAGTATTTTGCATGAAGTTATTCCAAATATGACAATAGCAGCAACAAGTCCTTGAGTTGGATATGTTGTTAGAACATTTTTTGGAAACAATTTTTGTCTCCACCACTTATTGTATTGAATATCAAATTAAGTAGAAAGTCACTAAAATCTAATAGTTCACACGAAATGAACTTAATGAAATGAAATGTCTATATTTACTCACCCTCATGTTGTTCAACGTATTTGCACAGTTTTGGTTTAGTTTTCAGTGTGTTCTGTTCTCCATGGTTTTCGAATGATTTACATCTGTTCATTCAGTTTGTTTAACGTCAAATGTCCAATGTCAATGTTAACGTGGTTGTGCTTGAATGATTATTTTTGATTTAATTAAAGACTTTATTAGTGATATGCCTATTCCTTCGTCTTGCGCTCATTACAACCATTCGTGACAGTTTCAACACTTATGCCTTTGTAAAAAAAAGAAGTGTGCTTAATTTTATTGAAGTGCACTTGTAGAGTACTTCAAATCTTAAAGTTTCTTTTTTAAACTGGACTTGCAGATAATATTAATGAAATAAAAACTTAAAGAGTGTACTTTCATGCCGTTTCTTAACACACTTAAGTACACTTTTAAAAGGGCACTTGTAAAAATGGCAAATTAAAAGTTTACTTTAAAGTACATTTCAAATCATTGTTTTAATAATCTTTTGTTGTGCTTTAAAGTACACTAATGTTGATGTGTTGACTACTAAAGCACATGTAAAGGACTTGATTATAATTTTACTGTAGTGTGTTATTTGATATAATATTTAAAGTGAATGTGTTTTAAATGTACTAAATAGCTGATTTATCATTACAAATGTGAAATTACAAATATATAACAATTGCAAATAAATTATAGTTTCAATAGAAATTACATTAAAGTATATTTAAGTTTACCATAAATGCTTTTCAGTACATTCAACATTACACATGAGCCATAGAATTATGAAATTACATATAAAAATGTACTTAAGTCCTTCTGTAGTGGGTCAAAAGCACTCTTAAATTCAACTAATTGCATTTAATATAAATTTAAATTATAATACATGTTAATTGAATTGTAACATACAATTAAGTGTTGTAAAACATTAAATTCAGTGTAAGTAACTATAGTCAGTTACATATATTCTTTTAAAGTATATGGTTTCCATAATGATGGTCTTTTTAGAAGTATGCTTATGGTGTACTTCTTTTTCACAAGGGTGATATTTGTGTTTTTTAACCCCACACAATGAAACTCAGTGGGGTTCTTAATTGTTTGGAAATGAAATTAAATTAAATGAGGATATGGTGGCTTTTCCATTAGTTGAAGTTGCAGTCTGATATGAATATATTTTTCGATTTAAAATAAAGATCTCGTAAAATAAAGCCTGTGGTATTGCTTAATGATACTTTGACGTTTTGTTTGTAAATTACACACCCATAGCGAAATTGCTAATTTTTAAGCTGAGGAGTAATGTTCATTTTTGAAACCATAAGAACCTTTTCTTTGTTATTTTAGGGAGATTTACAGAATTTTCATGAAATTCTGAAGATTCCTCAGAAATTCTCCTTTTGTATTCCATGGAAAAAAATAACACCATATAGGTTTGTTAAGAAATAAAGTTGGGTAAATAATTTCTGGGTGAATTATTCCTTTAACTGTTTCTCAGGGATGCCTTCCACCAGCAAGGCCAACTGCATGAAACTGGAGGGAACTGGAGGAAAGAAAGGGAGCTGAGATGTAATGAGAAAGCCAGAGCTCAAATCCCAGAGTCCAGTGTGGGTGAAGACAGAACCATCCTCTTGGGCATCACCATGATGGTCTTCTCAATCCTCATGTATTTTCTGGTGGGAATCGCGATGGTGAAACCATGTCTCCATAGGTTAGTAGCAGGTCTTCAGGTAGACTGCTTGTATTGCCTTATTAGAAAAGGATACTTTTCATGTTGTAATGTTCATGTTGATGAACTTTGCGATAAAAACAGCTTTTGCTAATAATCACTACAATGAAATGTGATCACTTTAAATAAATATGAAATATTTTGTCATAACATAGTGAGCTGCCTAGAAAGTCCTCCAGTTTCTTCTTTTCTTAAAGGCCCTTTTATGTTTTTCACTTTTTCAACTTTAGTTAGTGTGTAATGTTGTTTGAGGATTAAAAAGACCTGCAAGGTTACAGAGCTCAAAGTCCACTCCAAAGGGTGATATTTTATTTAACAGAATCCACTTTTCAAGAACTACAACGATCGGCTCATTTGGACTACAACTCACTTTTTCCGAATCTTATGAAGTCATATTCCTCATTTAAATAATCCCCGTCCATGGGATATGCAAAAATTGCCGCTATTTTGCAAAAATTGCCGCTATTTTTTCCACACCCCGGAAAAAGTTTGTCCTAAGGTTTTAGGACAACGTTTGTCTGTGCACTGCACTTTTTACAGCAGAAAGACAGACATAGCCTACAATGCAGGATATGCGCACAAAAGCTTCTCCTGAAAGACGTAGCCATTCCCATTTTTTCGTTTAGGGATCACAACTTGTAAGAATGTCTTTTTATTTGTAGTAGTTTTTTCCATTAAAGCTCAATTATACGCTTTATGTAGTTGCTATAATGTAAACAAAGGGGACTACAGATAAACTACAGATCACCTGGAGTCAAAGCAGGTCAACCCTCAGGGCGCAAATTTCGCAAAAGGCATAAGCAGTGTGCCACTGCCAAATAATTTTAAGTACCCAGACTCTAGACCCCAAGGAAGCCACAGGGGAGCTAGGCCTTGCTTAAAAACTCCAATGTATCTGAGTGAGAGAGCAGCTCATATACCCTGCCATGAGTAAAGGTACTCTTCCTAAGATCCCCCACTATTAGTGCCTCGTATATCTCTTTTGGCACTAGCCCAAAAGGGGAGCAATATTCCCACATCAAACTCCAACCATTGGAGAGGGATGTAAACGCAACAGAGGGAGCCTTTCTTAAGAGCAGATTAAGAAAGGGAGCCTCCAAAGTGCTAAAACCTTAGAAATTAGCCCTTCAGGTTACAACCTTCACTATTGCTGCCCTTTCAAGGGGAGCCTAATCTTTACTCCTATTCAGGAAAGGAGGGAGAATGAGAGCAGGGCATGGTAAAGTGTGCCCGCCACTCTTATCACTCAAACACTCAAACCCCAGGGAACCGCAAGGGAGCTTAGGTTCTACTTCAAGAACCCAGTTTAACTGGGGGAAAACAGCTGAAGCCTGCCAGGAACACGACGACTTTTTGGGACTTTAGCTTATTCACCGTATCCCCCAGAGTTAGATAAGTCCATACCCTTTTCATCTCCGTGCGTGCTGTAACTCTGTCTGACGCACCCACCGCTAGCCTAGCTTAGCACAAACACTGGAAATAAATGGCTCCACCTAGCATACTGCTCCCAATAAGTGACAAAATAACGCCAAACATTTTCCTATTTATATGTTGTGGTTTGTATAGTCACAGGGTGTACAAATAACAAGGTCATATGAGACACATGCATCTTTTAACCGTATACATACTGGGAACTATATTCTCAGAAGGCGAAGCACTGCTACTTGGGTGGAGTGATTTGCTCGCAGCACCTGCGAAGCCCGGTGGTGAGGAGCAGAGAGTTCGCTCAGTGTTGCGCTAATCACTCCGCCCAAGTAGCAGTGCTCTATCACTCAACTCAAATCCTGCTATAGTTAACTAATAGCAGAGCACGTATCCAAAGGAGAGCGATACCCCTACTTCAAGACCCAATGATAGTTGGGGAGGGCAATAAACGAAACCTATGGACCAAAGTTCATCACAAGCAGCTTTTCCTCAAGCTGAGCTAAATACTAATAGATAGAAGGTGCACATTGCCAAACACACAATACAAAATACCACCATGTAACACACAACACTTAAATAATGCAAACATTAATTTCACAACATACGATGTAACATAAAACCCTAATGCACATAACTGAAAACAAAACACTAAGCATAAACATAATTATTCAAATAAATAAAAAAATATAAAATGTGAAGTATCACAAAGGAATTCTGGGAATGGCAGTTTACGGCTTTTCACTGTAAATTATAAGATTTGTTATTGTTTTACTTCCAAAAACAGTACATTTAACAGTGTTTTACTGTAACATTACATGAAATGTAAAGTTAGATCAATTAAAGCTTTTCCCTGTATAATGGAACTTACTGTTAACCAATTAATAGGTTTTTACAAAAAAAATTTATATAGTGCTTACCTTATTACGTTTTTACATTGTAAGCATTGCACTTAATAATTCACGTTTATCTTTCCAACAGCGACTGGAAAAATTCTGCCAACTGCTCATTAGTTCAGATTGATTTGCTGGATGAAGTGATGGACTGCCGTGTCATTGTCAGCTTTAAATGCCTGCGTGTTTTGGTAATCATTTCGTCCCCTGAAAAAACACTTCGACTTTACTACGATGAAGAGGCTGTGAAATCCAGGTCAAAGGTACAGTTGTCACTCAGTGTTATTTAACTGAGTGGAGGATTTAATCATCCTGTCATTCCAAATTCTATATTATTTTCATTCCTCTGGTTTTATGGACTATGATTTTACTGCCAAGCTCCAAAAAGAAAGCCCTATTAAAGTACAAGGAGATAAGTTTTTTAAAAACTATTATTTGCTGAAAAACCTTCTCCTCTGCTGTATCTATCAAATCTCATTTGCAATTACTGTGTGCAAATTAAAATGATGACACACAAGAACCAATTGGCATTCGATATCTTCACAAATTTGTGCAACTGAAAAAGAGATTTGACAACAACTTATACTTAAGTCTGTTGCTCACACAAAGCTGAAATGATAAAATTAAAATTTTGGGCTAAACTGAACTCTTCTTATACAATTACGGTGGCATTGGCATTTAACTTTTTTTATTTTATTCAAGGTCACAATAAAAATTAATAATAATACTTAATAATAATAACAACAATATTTTAACAATGTATTAACTTCTACAGTATATTTCATTAAAAAATATTGATTAAAACATCTTATTGTTGATTTTGAATATCTTAATTGTAAATGCCAACAAGCTTAATATAACATAACCTTTAAAAAAAAATGATTCATTGTGACTAGTGAAGTAATACATATGTATTTCATAAAATTCTGTGTTTTTATTTTGTTGTAACACTACTGACGTTAAAATGTATGATGATTTTCATGTAAACAATTTATTTTAATTAAGACATTTTAATAGTGTGATTTTTGACTTATTTCAATGAGTCAAAATACTGTATTTTACAACAAATACTCTATTCTTTTAAAATTATTCTTTTATTACTTTTTTGAACAGGGAATTATGGAGAAAAGTAATGGAGCGGTAAGACTTTCAAAATTAAAATGATTATTACAGTAATATCAGTTATTTTAAAATAATGTATACTGTTCCAATTTATGGATAAAAATATATCAAGTTTTAAAACATATCAATCAAAACAGTGAGTGTCCATGTAGTGTAAATATCTGAAATATTCAGTTTGCCATAATCTTTTACCTCAGTGCTTCTACACTCCGAAATGCCAACGAAACAAGACAGAACAAGAGGCTGAGGCCAGTAACATCAAACAAGCGTTAAGTACACAAGGGGAAAACATGACATGCTTTCTCAGTGCCATATACCCAGATGACGCCATCTTGAGGAGGAAATACTCCATTCAAATGGCCTTCTATTACCTGCTGTGGCCCAGCCTCATGTTGTTTGGTGGAATCCTCCTGGTGGGGCTGGTGAAACTCAACCAGCATCTTGCTTTCCTCTGCACTGAGATCAGTAGAGAGGAGTTACCCGGCAGTAAACTGGCAGAGGGAAGGATCTACCGGCTCTTAAGATGCAGGCCTGGGGGCAACGTGGAGCAGCATGACCAAGTTAGAAAATAGTATAATGTGCCTCTACTGTAATGGTCAAGTAAGTAGTTATAATGACTTAACTCATCATTCAGTCTTAGTGCCTTATGCCCTAAATATAGCCAAAGTTTTTATACATTGTGATTGTTCATTAAAGTCAAATAAAGATGGCATCTAAAAGTTGCAGTTGGTGGTCAGTTTCTGTGAAAAGTATGTTCTTGACAAACGTTTATCACTTTTGATGTCATTTCTGGCGAGAAATTACTAGTAATTCAATATTCGCTTAGTTATCACCAAACGTCATTCTTTTTTGCTATAGATCATTAAACTGTTGTGCTGCCTCTGAGGTCTCTCTGAAATCAGGGCAGCTGATATTATTTCATTTGTACGTGTCACAGTATGTGGCTGTAGTAATGAACGCACGACAAATGGAGTACAATCAAATAGTCAAGATACCACTAGGAAAATGCATGAGAATGGTATAACAACCACATGAAACGCAAACGAGACTAAACACTGAACAGAAAGAACCCAGGGCTTAAATACACAGCGAGGGTAATCAAATGAACAGAAACAGGTGTGGAATAATTAACAACCGAAGAAACAAATTATGAACAGACAAACGGGAACAGGAACCCAGAGGCGCTGGGAGAGACCAGGGTTGTGATGACAGTGGGAGGAGCCAGGAGCAGGAGGAGTCAGACGGGAACCCAGACCACATAGCCGAGGTGGAGCCACGGTGCCAGAAGACTGAGGCGGAGCCAGAGGGAAGGCAGAGCCCGACGAAACCGAAGGGGTGGAGGGACGAAGCTGACGTAGCTGAAGGCCCGTAAGTCCGTGGCAAAGGCAGAGCGACATCTGACCAAGGCTAAGCCGGAGGGACGAGAGAGCCCAGTAGAGCCGTAAGGACGATGGTCCCAGGTGAAGCCAAGGGAGGGAAGAGCCAAGGTGGAGCCGACAGATTGACTATCCGAGATGGAGCGATGGACTCGATAGCTGGAGGCAGAGCCAGGGGATCCTCTTTCCAAGGCGGAGCTGGTGACCGGAAGAGATCCTCTTTCCAAGGCAGAGATGGTGACCGGAAGATCCAAGTGGCATCCACACAGCATATTGGAGTTAATAATGGAGGAACTGAGAAGCAGACAGGAACCAGCAGAGGAGGGGTCGACTGCCTGCCTTTGGAAGAGGAGGCTGGGTGGGAATTATGGAGACTCAAGAGACTTTGAGCTGGGAGGAACCAGCGGAGACACATGAGACTTAGAGCTGGGTGGGACAAGCAGGGATGATAGAGAACCAGGGAAATATCCTCTTCCATTTCCTCAAACAATGCAGAGGCCAGCTGCAGTTCACTCTCAGCTGCGAGGATTTTGACTGAGCTTTCCTCCATGCCCTCATATACTCCATGCCCTCATATACTCACACACCTGGTCAGCTTTTCTGTGGGGCTCGGACTCCGGGGCAATGGTTGGCTCAGTCCTCTTTACTGGCCCGTGCATCACGGCAGGGTTGGGCTCACTGTCTGCATTGGGCTCTGGCGTTTTCTCCGTGCAGTGTGTGGGTGGTGGCTGGCTGGGCTCTGGGTCTGGAGTGGGGCTGGTGATTTCCCTCACTGGGCAGATGGAACACCAATCCATTGTTCACCAGCATGAGGCTGAACTAGAAGTCCCCCCAAGGAACCCAAGCTTGCGCCAGGCTGCGGCCTTGTCTTTCCATTCACCAAAGATTCTCTAACTCCCACTGGTTCTCTCTCATCAAGACCACATCAGCAAAGATCAAGTGGAGCCTCAACAAATTGCATCAGGACAGTTTAAATCAAATAGACGAGACATGCAAGTATCAAACTTAGTCTCATTATTTGATACATTAAGTATCCTTACCCCTTTTTAAGAAGGGCGTGTTAGAACTAAACTGATGGTTTGCTCAGGCTGTTGATCTGCTGAACATCAAATAATGCTATAACTTCTTGCTCTCCTGTATTCTGCTTCAGCTCTCTTTCCCTTGGTAAACTGTATGCATGTATGTATGTGTATGTTAGAGTAGTTTAAATGTTTAGTCTAGTTAATAAAGTCTTTTTCATATCACACGTAAGGTTGTCCGTGTCTCAAGCTCATATCTGGAGTCACTAATCATAGATCTTGACTACTTGCTCTTAGTAGAATTTAATAAGAAAGACATTTCCCATGCCCCGGAAAATTTACATTTCTATTAATCAATTAATAACCAATATTGAGTGTTCACGAGATGAACCGAGTAATTGGTTGTAATGTTAATGTAGCTACGTACATCAAGTTAACCCGATTAACTGATCCAAATATTCATAATCAATTATAACAAGTTATGATTGAATATTAATATTTCATAATTTGCTACATATATCTAAATTACGACATATGCTTTCAATGAAAAATGTGGAACAGTTAGTTCATGCATTCATGACCTCAAGGCTAGATTATTGCAATGCTCTTATGGGTGGTTGCCCTGCACGCTTAATAAACAAACTACAGCTGGTCTTACTAGAACCAGGAAGTATGACCATATTAGCCGGTTCTGTCAACACTGCATTGTCTCCATTTCAAACAGCGTATAAATTAAAAAAAAATATTGCTGTCTACTTACAAAGCACTAAATTGTTTAGCTCTGCAGTACTTGAGCGAGCTCTTAACGCATTATAATCCTTCACGTCTATTGCGATCTCAAAATTCTGGCCAGTTGATAATACCTAGAATATCAAAATCGACTGCTGGTGGTAGATCCTTTTCCTATTTAGCACCTAAACTTTGGAACAGTCTCCCTAACATTGTCCGGGAAGCAGACACACTCTGTCAGTTCAAATCTAGACTAAAAAGTTTACCTGGCATTCACATAGAACATTATACATTTCTATTATTCAAATCAGTTAAATGATTATTAGGCTGCATAGATTAGGTCAGCCGGAACCGGGGACACTTCCCAAAACACTCAATGTACTCGTTACATCTTAAGAAGAATGGCATCTACGCTAATGTCAGTCTTTTCATTTATTCCGAGGTTTACTGAAGTCAGCCGGACCCGGGCCTGATCCAGATCAGATGGTGAACCTGCGCCTGGACACGACCACAACACATCACTGAAATGCCAGCCTCATCAGCCCTGTGAAGGCCTCATGCACACCTCTACAAACTCATCTCCATACTGGCATGATGACTCCGACCTCCAACCAGATGGAACTGTATAATATTGTGAATGTTCTGATCCAATCTAACTTCTGACCTGTAATGTTGCCTGAATCATAATCATACACTGTCCATTCGTTGGCTAGAGGAGAACTGGCCCCCGACTGAGCCTGGGTTCTCCCAAGGTTTTTTTCTCCATTCTGTCACCTGAGGGAGTTTTGGTTCCTTGCCACTGCCGCCTTGGCTTTTGGCTTGCTTAGTTGGGGACATTTAATTATTCAACAATATTTTTGATCTCGCTTACTTCAGGTGGACGATGAAGCAATTTTATTCTAGAAACAAACTTCTTGTATTTATTTATGTTATCACTGTAAAGCTGCTTTGATAATCTGTATTGTAAAAAGCGCTATATAAATAAAGATGACTTGACCTAGCGAAACGATCGGTCATTTTCTAAAAAAAAATTAAATATATACTTTTTAACCACAAATGGCCTTGTATGATCTCTGAGATGCGCTACGCATTACGTCATCACGTTGGAAATCCATTATATGGAAAAATATCCTGGAATGTTTTCCTCAAAAACCTTAATTTCATTTCGACTGAAGAAAGAAAGACATGGACATCTTGGATGACATGCGGGTGAGTAAATTATTAGGAAATTTTTATTTGAAAGTGAACTAATCCTTTAAATACACTGAGAGGGTAATCAACTGAACAGTGACAGAAAGGTTAGATATTTAATGTTTATATTATATTGCACTATTAAAAAGTCCTTATCTGAACAGCACTAGCTCCATCTGGAATAGCGCTTCAGAGATATGATTTGTGGTTACAATATAGCTTAGCCATGGAAGACTAACATATCAATTTCCAGTCAATCCAGTCAACAGCAGGAGACTAAAAACCCTTTCAAAGAGAAATTAAAGCTCATCCATTCACTTCACCAAGTCTTTAAATGACTGCGCCCCTTTCACTTTGGCGCTTTGCCAATTTGTTCACACAGTATGGAAAGGTATTGAGTGAGCTTGACCATGAGTATGATGAGGGTTCCTCCAGAACACATACAGGAAGGCCAGAAGAGAGAGTGGAAAACTGCACTGCTGCCATGCGGACGGTTCAGAAGGATACTGGCCTGATGCTCGCTGGAGTCGTGGAAACATGTTACCTGCTGGTGCGTCTTCAGATGTTCTGAAATATTCTGGACCATAACACGCAGGACGCTGTGGTCCTTCTGGCATTTTGGCACATAAAAACACTGTGGAAAAATTAATTAAAAATCTACTTTAAACGGTGAAAACAAAGCCACGAGTTATTATTTATTAATGTTATTTTCCAGTTTTGTATCTAAAGACAATTATTTACTTAAAATATATCCAAATGTGCACATTTAAATATCCACACTACCATTCAAATGTTTCTGGTCAGTGAGACATTTCCTGCTGAAAAATCCAGCATAAGCCTGTCAAGGTGGGTTGCAGCAAACGGACGATGAAGAGGAAGATCAGACTAAAAGTCTTTAATCACACACTCAGAAGGTACATCCAAATCATACAGGCGAATAAACTCAACAGATGCATTAACGTGAACAGACAAAGGAACACTGAAAAGACTGCATACAAAGCAAATGGGAACTAATGACAAACACCTGTGATGATTAATGAATCTCCATAGTAACTAATAAGTGGCGGGAAACTAAACAAAGGACAACAGGAACTTAAGGGCTGTTTACACGACACCGTTTTTAACTAAAAGGTAAAACTTATTAAGCGCTTTGGCTGTTCAGTTACACGATAATGGCGTTTTGGGTGCCTGAAAATGCAAAGTTTTGAAAACGGGTTTTAAAGTGCAAGTTTTTAGTCGTTTTCTCAGATCCGTGTGAATGGGGATCATCATCGTTTGACAATGGTGTCGTTTGTATGCAGTATCGTTGTCGTGTAAATAAGAGTCCATGAGAATGAAACTAAGAGCAAGATAACTGAAAGTCCGTGACAAAACCAGCATGAATTTCATGTTGATAATATTGTAAAAAATAATATTACTGTTTTTACTGTATTTTTAATAATAATTAAAATAATTAATTAAATAATTAAATAATTAATGATCATTTGAGCAATTATACTGAGCAGTTTATTAAATAATTTTTTATAGCGCCTTTCAAGAACCCAAGGTCGCTTCACAAAATAATACAAACAGTTGACAGACAAGAGACAGGCAATCTGCTAGTTATAGCAATTAAACAAGCAGAAAAGCAGATGGAGACAATAAAGAAATAGATTAGATAGGCAAAGAAAACATACATTTTGATAGAGAAAGCATGTAACAAAGAAGTGAAAAAGTGGAGGACAGAGAGATAGAATGAAAAACAGTTATTTACTGAGCATGGTGAATATATGAGTTTTAAGCTGAGATTTGAAGGTCTGTAGGTTAGGGGTGGCACGAAGATCAGATGGCAGCTTATACCACAGCTTAGGGCCGACAACACTAAAAGCCCTTCCACCCACAGTAGATAGTTTATATTTTTTAAATGGAGCTTGAGGTAAGTACAGAAGTTTTAAGTTTTAGAGTCATGTCGCGTTGATGGTCGCAAGACCGTGACTCTCTACGACGTAGGACCAATGTTTAGGAGCCATGACCACATAAATCGTCATGATTGGCCGTCTTTCGTCTGGGACAGCCCAAAATCAATGTGTACCCGACATAAGAAGTTGCTCAAAGCTCAGGAGTTTCATTTAAAGATTCTGCTTCCACCATTTTGTAATATCAGTGGCTGCATCTGAAATCACATACTTCCCTACTATAGTAGGTGAAAAACAGTATGTGACAAAAGAAGTATGTCCGAATTCACAGTACTCATAAAAGAGTAGGCAAAAAGACCCCAGATGGCCTACTACTTTCAGCGAGATTCTGAAGTGTGCATACGATGGACACTTTACAATATCCCATGAGGCCACAGAAGAGGATTTATGAATGACAGTGAAGTGACATAACTGACACTGGTAGGTCACATGATAATGACAACATGGTGAATGTAGTGCGTCCAGATTACATTCATACTACACACATTCCTACTAAATATAATGTACTTTTTTAGCAGTTGTGAGGTAATTATTTATTCCACATAAGTAGCCTACCTACTCAAGAGAGTATGTGATTTGGGATGCAGCAAATCCAATGTCAGCACACCTAACATGCAAAAATGAATGAATTCTTTCACCTTTGAAAATTCTCCATTCGATTTAAATTGAATCTCATTGCTGTTTGAGAAACCACAGTTGAAAGATTCACCTCAGAACTGACGTCCAGCATCTCCTCATTGTGAAAGAGCAGCCCGATACGGCCGGTGGCGTTCAGGCTGACGTAGACCTGTAGACAGGGGAACTCAGAGCTTCTCCAGCAGTCAGAGCCACAGTTGTACGAACAATTGATATCCTTCGTAAGAGTGGAGTTAAGCACAATACAGGTGGTCTCATCTGTCAATACACTGCATTTTACAACAGAAAGAAAACTCTTGAGACACACTTAAAGGTTCCAAAAACATAATTGTATAGTTCAGGGCTAAATATTATTGAAGCAGTCGTGATAACACTACCTGTCTGCATGCGCGCGCACCATGGTGATACAGATCACAAAGTACATCATGACTGAGCTGAACACCATACCCAAACCCAACAGAATGGCCCTGTCCTCCCCGGCCTTTAGAGCTGTTTCTGTCCTTTTTCTGTCCTTTAGCTCATATCCCCACAATCTCTTATGAATTACCCTGGGAAAAGATGTCCCAGTCTAATTTATCAAACATATAGTTCCAGTTCTGGGTGCTGATTGGCCACACATGATGACACGAATAACAATCACCAAAATTACATTAATTGTAGGTAGCCTACATATAGAGGCAGGTAGAGCAAGTGGTAAACAGATGTACACCTTTGTTGAGTGGCTTGTGTTGTTTTGACCCCCTTCACAAAGAACATCTTGTCTGATGCCTGTCAGTAAGATCTGGAAGATCTGAGTTCCGGAAAGTCCTAAAAACAGAGAAATCCTTGTATAATTTCCATTTCAGTCCTCTTATAAAACTATCTGACCATAGTTTTTCATTTTGTGTACAGAAGCCAGAAGTATTGATTTTACAATGCTTTTACTATGTGAAGAATATATTAACTATTCACTGACAGAGCACTTCAGTGATACAAAGCAGCAAAGAATGATGGTCCATAACTCTGCAAGTGCAGTTTATGAATAAAGCTGATGGCCTTAAGAAAGCTTGAGGATCTTATGGTAAGAACAATGCTTTTGCAATATCAAGTGTTTGGTTTGTTTCAGTTAGTCTACGTCCATTAAAATCTAGTTTGAAAACAAAATGCTTTGTATATAGATATTCTTCTGATCCCCTTCAACACTAACTTTTTCAGAAAACTGAAACCTACCCAGTTGCTGAGCATCTAGTATGTCATATCCTGCCTTTTAAATTCAAGAATGGAAGTGAATTGACAGGATGCAGATTTATATTGGAGTATGGACTGAAATTCAAAGAAATTCATAAAACTGCAGTAAGTGCAGTAAGTTTAACCTAAATTGAAATTTTATGTAGATTATTATATAAGAATATTCACAGACCGTACTTGTATATATAAAGTCGGTAACACTTTAGAATACGGTTCCTTCGTTAATGAATAACTACACAGGAACAAATGAGTAACACAATTTTAACAATCTAGTAACTACTATTAACTAACAAGAAATTCTGATTAACAAATTAGTAAGTAACAGCGCACAGATGAAAGTGGTAGTTCACTATTAACTAATCAATAACTACTTTTTTTTATGCTTCCCAGAGAACTACTGTAAGAATCATGGTAACTAACTAGTAATGACTCAAGTGTTACTACATACTTCTAAAGGAATGACTAATTATTTGGATCCGTATTCTAAAGTGAAGATCACGGTAACTAACTAGTAATTACTCAAGTGTTACTACATACTTCTAAAGGAATTACTAATTATTTTAAGCTTTTGAGGTTTTTGGTGAAGTTTTAGATAGTAATTCCCATAGAAGTATGTAGTAACACTTGAGTAATTACTAGTTAGTTACCATGATCTTCACTTTAGAATACGGATCCAAATAATTAGTCATTCCTTTAGAAGTATGTAGTAACACTTGAGTAATTACTAGTCAGTTACCATGATCTTCACTTTAGAATACGGATCCAAATAATTAGTCATTCCTTTAGAAGTATGTAGTAACACTTGAGTCATTACTAGTTAGTTATCATGATTCTTACATGAAAAGCCAATCCTAAAGTGTAGAATCTTCTAATCCTTCACAAGATATTTGCACACACGTATGAGGTAGGAGACATTAATAAAATCTTTTTATTTTTTGCGAGGTATAGGTTAAATAATAAAATCACTGTATATGGTATTTGGATGGCCGATAACTCAATATGTTCCAGCCGTCACCGTGACTCTGGCCAATTTTCTGGCATTCCTCTGGACAGGCATTGAATCACTACAGGACAAGTAAGGTCCCGACAACTGCATTTAAAAAGCCATTTCTTTAAAATTATTCAGTTGATAAATAGTTCTCTAGGAGAGAGCATAGGCTAATTATTTCCCAAATCATAAGTCTGCTATGCTATTACATATTGATAAACCTTGTGTATTTGTTTACAGCAGTTATTAATGTTAATGTAGGCCTAGTGCTAGTCATTTGTCCTGCATTAGTTATTGATTAGTTTTGCATTAACTATTAATCTTCTTCAGTAGTTCTCTGGGAAGCATTAAAAAAAAGTAGTTATCAATTAGTTAATAGTGAACTACCACTTTCATCTGTGCGCTGTTACTCACTAGTTCGTTAATCAGAATTTCTTGTTAGTTAATAGTAGTTACTAGATTGTTAATATTGTGTTACTCATTTTTTCCTGTGTAGTTATTCATTAACGAAGGAACCGTATTCTAAAGTGTTACCATAAAGTCTGTAAAGTAGGCTAAATGTAATAGGCTACTGTTAAAAAAAAAAAAACCATCATTCATACAGCAAATACACTCACTGGCCACTTTATTGGGTACACCTGGGCTGCGTTCAGCGCCGACAAAACGTTGCAGAACGTTTTTTAAACAGAAACGGTGATGCGTTGAACGCACTGTTGTGATGACGCAAGAGTTGCGGCAGCTGAGAAGGCTTTTTGTGTTCTTTGTGAAGAATTTTCGGAGCCTGATGAAGTCGGTATAAATTATGTTTAATACTACAAAATATGCCCGATGTTACAGTTACTGCACTTGCCGCCCAGAACACAAGAGAACATCCCAATCGAGTGAAGGGATTTGTGGAAACTGAAATGGAAGCACATCTTACCTAATAAAGACTAAAACGCATCTATTTAGCCTCACATTCTTGTTGTTCATAATGTTTTATTAATACCCTGTATTTTCTTTCTCATTTTTAGGAAAAGCACTTTACATGCATTGTTCATTTCTATACCAAATGTCACACACTTGCAATGAAGCTAAAAATATAAACAACTACATCATTATGTTGATATCCTATATTTTTACAATAATACTTATGACAAACATGTCTTCTGATATCCTTAGTTGTTGCGTATCGAACACATTTGTAAATTACTTCCATTGTGCGAGTTCTCTTTAATACCGTGTGCTTTATACATGTTGCTGCTGATTGGACTGCAGTTCTGACACGCCCACCAAACAAGAGAAAACGCATCTCAAACCCCGTTGCACACCGGTGCACGCCGTTTCCAGGAAACATGACGTTCAACCTGGAAACCGTAGCAAAACGTTACGCACCGTTGTGATCTTGAACATGCCCCTGTTCAACTGCTCATTAAAGCAAATATCTCATCAGCCAATCACATGGCAGCAACTCAATGCATTAGACATGGGCTGTGTCCAAAATAGCCAACTATTGAGAATGAGGAGATGTCGTCACGACACAGCGCCCCGCCCCCCGGAGACAGCTTTCCGCCATTTTGGGAGGACACCCGCTAGCAATGCTTATTGTTTATATTGGTAGTAGACATAGACAGTATAAGAAATGGACAGAGCCATCTCATTGGAACTCAGTTGAGACAGTTGAAGCCCATTTTTAGCGATTTCTGAGCACTTCCGTTCCTGACGCGCAGACTCAAACCGACTCAAACTAAGCTTGATGACGTGAGCAACCTGTCTGACAGACGTTACTCTTCTAGTAGCTGTGCGTGAAAATTGCCAACGTTAATCTTGCAAAGACGGGGAACTTGAGCAAAGAGTTCTTTATCGTGAGTGAGCAGGAGTAAGTATTCCGTTGCTTTTATGGACTCATTATCTATGGGCTTCTCCCTTGACAGGGCGTCCCCCCGATTGCCTGCGAGCTTCTCCTCCTGTCTGTACGGTAATTTCTGTACAGCGCGACAGAGAGTCGAGTGGTTATGACGCAATCGTTAGCCTATTTTTACTAAAACTGTTTCTACGGGGCCATAATGTAACATAGAAGGTAATGGAGCACTTTATACATTGTCGTGTTTCTTTAGAAATAAATAATGGACAAATGGAGTCTTTAAACGCCTCAGATGTAAAGTTATTCGCTGTCAAAGTGACGCCAAAATGAATGGGAGTCAATGGAAATGCTAACGCAAGTGAAGTTCTGCTACAACATGGCGGCACCCGGCCGGCTTCAACTTCCGGTCGATGGATTACCCCCTTGGTAGTAGAGGAGGTTGTCGCAGTGTTAGAATGCCTGGAAAACACTGCTGTGTAAAAAACTGCTCCAGTGTCTCACACGATCGTCGTGGGAACTGTAGCAACCATTTGTTAAATTTTTTTCGTTTTCCTAAATGGAAAAAGCATGAAGGAGAGCATGTCTCCGATGTGACAAAGAGACGTTGGATTTCTTGGGTTGCAGCTGTTAGAAGAAAGGACATTACTTTCGACCGCATCTCCGACTCGATGAGAGTTTATAGAAGTTTAATGTAGTACTGACACTAAAACTGTAAACTTGTTTTTTTTTTTTCACACAGTAATTTTAATTTTGGGTGAACTATACACACTACTGTCTCTATCCACGATATATTGTTGCATTTTTGTATTGCGATATATTGTGACACAATATTGTTACAGCCCCAATTGACACTACTTCCTTTGAACTGAATTTCATCACTGTTTGATTCAGAGCTCCTGTACAGCAGAAACAAACTTTGTTATTTTCCTATTATTAAGCTGCTTTGATGCAATCTGGATTGTAAAAAGCACTATATAAATAAAAGTGACTTGACAAAAAGTGAAGCAACTTACCTTTGCCAGTACAACAGTGTTTTCACAGTTTGGGGGCTTGTAGATGACCAAGTCGCGCACCCAGCCGCAGCAGAATGTCTCGTAACTTTCCAAGGATTTCAGGCTTTTGAATTCTAGCATAGTGTAATAACTGATGCCAAAAACCAAGTAATTAACTATTTCCATATACGTACAAGGTGGTAAAGAGTCTAGGTCTCTGTTCCATTCAGCTGCAGGCAGCTCGTATGGGTCGACGTTTTTAATATCAGCCAATTTCTCCAAATAAGTTAGCACTACCTCTGTTTGGCATTGATAGTAAGTTTCTCCCTGTAAGGACCCTTTTCTTTTGCCGCATTCTTCTCCATTTCTTCTTAATTTATATATTATATATATTTATTTATATATGTATATATTATATAATATATATATATATATATATATTATTTATATAATTTCTTGTAATTTCGATCCGTATATCCGTTTCAATTTGTATCCGTCTCTGTATCGCTCTTACACTGTTGCCCCTGGCAACCAATAGCGTGTCCTCCCAAAATGGTGGGCGGCCTCAATTCGTCACGTGACAGCAAGCTACCGTGACGCATGTCCTCATTCTCAATACAGTTAAATAGGCCAAGGGACAGAGTTCAAGATAAATCTTTTCATCTTATTACTGGAGCTGCCAAGTTGCTAAGTTTAAAATAATTATTAAACAGCAAGCACGAACTAGGCAAAAGTGGCAGCCCTTGTCCATTT